GTGGATCATAATAAATTATGGATAACATTGCAAAGAATGGGAGTTCCAGAACACTTAATTGTGCTCATGAGGAACCTGTACCTAGACCAAGAGGCAGTCATTCAAACAGAACAAGGGAATACTGTGTGGTTTAAAATTAGGAAAGGTGTGCATCAGGGCTGTATCCTTTCACCATACTTATTCATTCTGTATGCTGAGCAAATAAACTGAGAAGCTGGGCTATATGAAGAACATGACATCAGGATTAGAGGAAGATTCAATAACAACTGGCGATATGCAGATGACACAAGCTTGCAGAAAGCGAAGAGGACTTGAAGCTCTTATCGATGAAGATCAAAGACTACAGCCTTGCATATGGATTATACCTCAACACGAAGAAAACAAAAATTCTCACAACTGGACCAATCAGCAACATCATGATAAACAGAGAAAATATTGTCAAGGATTTCGTTTTAATTTCATCCACAATCAATGCCCACGGCAGCAGCAGTCAAGAAATTAAATGACATATTGCACTGGGTAAATCTGCTGCAAAAGACTCATTTAAAGTATTAAAAAGCAACAATGTCACTTGGAGGACTAAGGTGCGTCTGAGCCATGCCATGGTGTTTTCAATTGCCTCATATGCATGCAAAAGCTACACAATGAATAAAGAAGACCAAAGAGGAATTGATGCCTGTGAATTATGGTGTTGGTGAAGAATAGTGACTATACCATAGACTGCCAGAAGAACAAACAAATCTGTCTCGGAAGAAGTACAGCAAGAATGCTCCTTAGAAGTGAGGATGGCGAGACTGTCTCATGCACTTAGGACGTGTTATCAGGAAGGACTAGACCCTGGAGAAGGACATCATGCTTGGTAAAGTAGAGGATCAGCGAAAGAGAGGAAGACCTTCAATGAGATGGACTCACACAGTGGCTACAACAATGGGCTCAAACATAGCAATGATTGTGAAGATGGCATAGGACCGGGCAGTATTTTGTTCTGTTGTATATAGGTTCGCTATGAGTTGGAACTGACTCGATGGCACCTCACAAAAACAACAATGACAGAGGTAGGTAGTGGAAAATTTAAGACTAAAACACAGGTCTCCAAATGTCTAGTCCATTGGTGACTGTGGAAAAAACACTGACTTTCCTTAGGAAGACTGGGTAACATTTCAGCTCAATTCCATTCCCTCTCTTGTCCTTCCCACATGTGTTCCTCCAAACAAGTTCCTGAGAACACTGAGGAACAACCATTGACTATTTTCCTCTTTACTTTCTCATAGGTCTCCTAAATTTCCCTTAAAATAAAAAAGATGTGTAAAGAATTTTGTTATAAAATATTGATTGTTCTAATTGTAGAATGTCTAGGGAAATAAAAACACAATAATAGATGACTACAGTTCACAAAAGAGAAAAATTTATAGTATCTGGAATCTTCATGACAAGTCTGAAAATTGTCAGGTACTGATTCTGACCTGCAGAATGCAGCCTTCAAGATTCCCAGAGGGAAAGACCTGAGGTTATTTTCCATTATTAAAAGGCACTGTATTATATTAGGTCATATCTACACAGTCAAAGGGAATGTTAAACTATTATGCTTGTTGATTTATATAGGGATTGGAGGCTTGTTAAATAGGCGAAAGCTGTTATCTTGATCTCAAAATGGGAGGAAATGAGTATGACTTACTTATTTTGAATGTCAGCACATCATGAATTCACCAACAGGACATGAGGACAGAGAGATCAAAGCAGTTACCTATTGATTCTAATCCCTTCAAGAGCCAATGCAGCTCCTCCAGGTCCCGACATTCTACTTTTTCCTTAATGAGCAATTTATTCTGTGAAATAGCCTCTACTCCCCACTCTCCTGCATGCCTGTTCAGACCCAGCCTTGGAACAATGTAGGCTGACTACTATAAACTGCATGCCAGTATTGTGTCAGTGGGGAGCCCTGGTGGCGCAGTGGTTAAGAGCTACGGCTGCTAACCAAAAGGCTGGCAGTTCGCATCCACCAGCAACTCCTTGGAAACACTATGGGGCAGTTCTACTCTGTCCTGTAGGGTCACTATGAGTTGGAATCCACTCGACGGCAATGCTCTTGATTTTATTGTGTCAGTGGATTTATACATGCCCCCTCATTGAATCCTCGCAACTCTATGAGGTACATTTTCAGATCAGGAAACACAAGTTGAAAGGGGTTCAGAAACTTGCTCAAAGTCACACAGCTTGTCAGTGGAAAGGTCAGAAATAAAGCCAGGTATGTCTGCTGCCAAATTCCATGGTCTTAGCCATGGTATCCCGCCCCCACCAAACCACCACTGCCCCCACTCCAGCCCAGACGTAGACAAAACGTTTACTTGGGTAGAATGTACTCAGAAGCAGGAACACTGAATATGAGGGGAGGCAGAGGAGGTAAAAGGGATTTCAGATACCCATATTTGGTCCTCTTTTATTGTGAATGTAAGTTGCAGCTTTCTAGTTACAACTTGGGTTACACAATCAAGTCTTTCTAGTCACAACTTGGGTTTACAATCAAGGCTTTCTAGTTACAACTTGGGTTACAATCAAGGCTTCAAATTTTCCGGGTCAACCCCCTGCTGAGAATTTGCATTTCTACCCCCCAGATATATGAATTAGAAACTAATCCCCAGAATATAGATTCTGATTCAGTATATCTGGGGGTGGAAATGCAAATTCTCAGCAGGGAGTCAAACCCAGGAAAGATGTGGCAGTCCTCTGTAAAGATTTACAGCCTTGGAAACCCTATGAGGCAGTTTTATTCTGTCCTTTACGGTCGCTAGGAGTCAGAATCAACTCATCAACAATGGGTATGGTGTTAATATGTAGATTCTGATTCAGTATATCTGCAATGGAAATGCAAATTCTCAGCAGGGGGTCGAACCATAAAGAACTAGTTCGAAGCTTTGGTTACAATATTTGCTCTCCTGGCCTCTAGAACTGATCTTAATGAGGCAGTAGAATGCTCAGTGTTCTAGTACACATAGGGTTGTGTTCTAGTTTGTTCTACAAACTAAATTCTAAAGTTGGAATACTTATCACCATGTCTCTGCCTTCATGGGAAATCTATGATTAAAAACAGTGACTTAAGTAGTCTTGGGAAAGTCTAATCAGTTATCCATTATCCAAAGGGCTTACTCCCCCTCTTCTGAATCAGAGCTAATACCAAGGTGTAGCTCCAAAGACTGTATCTATGTTGCTGCTATACATGATCAGAGCTTGAAAAATCTTGACTACTCAAGTTTTCTATAGGGACCCTCCATGGCTTCTGCAATTTTATTATCCAAGGAGTCTTGGAGGGTTCAGGAGTTTTTAAACAGTGCCCAAAACAAACTAAAGCTCTTCCTCTACTTTAGATCAAATATGGAATCTACTCAGAAACCTAGAGTTGAGAAACTTTACAGCTGCTGAGAAAGTCTGACAACCAGATAAACCCTTTGCCGTTGAGTCAATTCTGACTTATAGCAACCCTATAGGACAGAGTAGAACTGCACCATAGGGTTTCCAAGGAGTGGCTGGTGGATTCAAACTACTGACCTTTTGGTTAGCGGCCAAGCTGTTAACCACTGTACCACCAGGGCTCTGACTATCAGATAGTGTCTAACATTTATTGGACTAACGGGTTTTTGTATATCATATGCCTCTGAAGGTAAAGAGCAACTAAGGAATCTTGTCCAGATGCACCATAAAAGACAGAAATACCCTTCACATATGAACCAAAGATTATATAACTCACCTTCTCCCTCTGGCACACAGTAAGCAGCTGATAAATATTTAGTAAATGAACGTTTTTCTTCTATTGCTTTCATTGTCAGAGCACTGGTTGAAAAGTAGAGCAGCCAACGCAAAAGGTATTGTATATAATACTGTACGTTCATTTTGCCTAAAGCAACCCCCAAATAAAAGTATGCAGTTTTCAAGCAGAATAAGCAGAAAACAAACACTCTTAATTTTTTCCTGAAAAGAATTCACAGCAGAACCCTATTAATTAGGCAGTTTATGGAAAGATGAAATACAATATAATTTGCAAAATTGGGATTCACAGGCAACTTTTAGGGAATTGCATAGAATGAGACCAGTAGTAAATCCATCCAGTCACTCTTTGCAAAACTCCATTCTAAACACCATTGTTTAGAATACCCACAATAATTCCAGACCTGGCCTTTCCCTCCACCTCTCCCCACCCATACACCTCCCCCACTGGCTAATTCATATGTGTGTCTCAATGTCAAGTAAAGCTTCAACTCTTCCAGGAAAACTTCCTTCATTCCGCAAACCAAGAAACACCCTGTCCACATCTGTGTCATTGAATTATTCCACTGTATTATCATTACATATTTATGTGTCTTTTGCTCTGCTAAGACTCCTTTTTGTTAAGGAAGAAATGAGTTTTAATCAGTTCCATTTCTCTACTAAGCCTGAACATAGTAAATCCTTAATAAATATTTGTGGGATGAATGAATGAATGAAAATATCACAGACGTAAAAACGCACAGATTTTAGGTGTGGCTGGTGATCAGGTGAGGTAAATTTAATCTGAAAGTGTAAATGGAAATGGTGAGTCTTAAATGGAGTTTGAGACTCTTGATGAGTTTCATGTGGCATGGTGGAAGGAGTCACAGAAAACTACAGAAAAAGGAGAAGTATGAATTAATCCTCAGTACTTACAAAGGAACCCCAAATAAAGAGAAGTTTGCCTGGATATAGTAGAGATTGTTAACACAGGTACAAGTAGAGAGAAACATGAAAATAACTTAGGAGGTTTGGTCCTCTTGGTCAAAGATCTTGTCTCTGAGCTAAATCTAGACTATCCCAGCTGCTACTAGGCATTACAGGGTTGTCATCACCAATACCCTATGTGCACTGCAAGCCTGGTGTCTCACATTCCAGCTCCTCAGTGCCATGCAGAAGGACTAAGAATTTCTTACCGAAAGCAAGTGTAGACTCTTTCAAAAGCAGATGCAAAGCAGAAGACTCCCACGGCAGTCTCTTACCTGCTGATTCTGATAGGCCGTGACTGTGGTGAACACAGTCTCAGGAAAGTTGAAAGTTTTCACCCCGTCCCCAGCGGGGACAGGCTTGGTGGGCGAAAGGTCGCTGCTGAAGTCCTTGCGAATCACGTGAACTCGAGGCTGGTATTTGTGCATAGAGTGCAGAATTATCTGAAATGAGAGGGGGAAATATTATACCAAGGCTGGCCTGAAGGTCCTTAAGTCTCTTCAAGCCCATGTGCAAAATAAATCAGAAGATAGAAGCACTATGGGAAGAGCACAGGTTGGAAATGGGATGCACAGGAAACTTGAAATCAGTGTACATGCCCATTTGTTGTTGTTGTTTGCCAGCGAGTCAATTCTGACTCATGGTGACCCCACATGTGTCAGAATAGAAATGCGCTCCATAGGGTTTTTAAGGCTGTGATCTTTTGGAAGCAGATCTCCAGGCTTGTCTTCTGAGGCTCCTCTGGTTGGGCTCAAACTGCCAGGCTTTCTGCTAGTAGTCAGGTACTTAACTGTTTGCACCACCCAAGGACCACTTGTACACGCCCATGGCAGAAAGGATTAGTAACTGGATAGCGTTGGATGGAACCATAGAGCAGGCATCTTAACCATGGGTGGTGGACGTAATATGTTTGCTTTGATTGGACAAATGCTAAATGGCTATTCTGTTTTCCGTGGACAACACTCCACTAAAAGGTCTCAGAACCTCGTACATGTGACAAGTCGTTTGCTCCGACTTCAAATTTTCAGCATGGGCTCATGCTGTCTTTAAATACTACATGTTATTGTTTGGCACTGCTTGTGTTTCTGGAAGTTCTTTTAAGTCATATGAGAATGAATGTATACGTGTGTCCTCTCCCTCAGAAAATTGTCATTTCCTTGAAGATAGAAACCATAGTTTTAGCTACTTTTCAGTCTTCTCATAGCACTCAGTATGGATCCTGGCATTCAGTGAAAACTCTACATATTTTCCTGTCAAAAATAAACTAGTAACATTCACTGTTCCAATTATACCTGGGAAGCCTTAAGACCTAGTTGTTTCTCATAAATTCATAAATTCCTTGACCAATCAGCCAAAATTGTCACCTCAGATGCTTCCCTTAGGTTATTGTCTTTTAAGTTATTCTACCGAATGCTGTAATTTCTTTTACTGTTGTTTAATTTGTCACATCTTTCTCTCTTGCCTCCCCAACTGAACTGTAAGTCTCTGTAGCATAAGGACTTTGTCTGATACAACATTTGTCTGATGTATAGTAGATGTTTGCTAAATGTTGGATTTGCAATAAATTAAATTTCAGAAGAGGACAAAAAAAAAAACTTTTATGCCCAGTCTTAAGACTTAAAATGGCATTGAGAGTCGTATATTGTGTGTCTGAAAAATCCTTGGACTAGTCATTTCTAGAGTAAAAAAGGGAAAGAGGTAAGAAAGGAGAGATAAGATTCTTTGACTCACGTGTCCTTGATCATCCAATTCATTGTTGGTCAGCTTGAGTTTGTCAAAACTGACCACCTGTCTCATCCAGGTGTCTCCAGAAGCTAGAGAATCAGGGTGGATATAAACTCTTGGGGGCACAGGGGAATCAGCATTGCCTGCCACCATCCACTTGGAGCTGTGATACACATATCTGAGATAGAGAGGTAGAGAGGAGAATTCAGAGACAGATTCAAAGAGGGGTTAGAAGCCCAGGGAACAAGTAGAGATAAGAGAAAGGAAGGACAAGAACAGATACCAAGAACAGAAGTAATAGGGTGAAACAGAGAATGCAAAGGAGCAAAAGAGAATGGGAGATAACCAGGGAAAATGAGATAGAGATGGAAATGAAGGAACAGGTGGGTTGGGGGAGAGCAGAGAAGTGTTGTGGTTAATGATCAAAGATACAGCTCTCATGAGGAAGACTTTCTCACAGCCCCTTTCTTTCTTTTTCCTCTCCTTGCCACACACCGCTGTGTGCATGCAGGCATCTGAACCCACGTGTCTAGCAATGGAAAAGGCATTTTACTGCAGCCTTTCACCTTTCAAACCATATAATCCCTTGGTCACTTGTTCAAGACTTTGTTCCTTATTAAAAACTTCTCCCATATTGTCTTGTAAAACACAGCCATGTGCAGAGACCCTCCAAGTCTCTCACTTGTTAACTATTTGCTGTAAGAATCTGAATTCTGAGGCATTTCTATGAGAATGAAGGGCCTTTGCTTTAGTGCAGTCATTCCCAGAAAGACCAACAAATCTTCCCAGTTAGTGTTCTCTTTGATGAACTTCATCATCTGCCACATTATTTTCCCACAAGGTACTGGAAATGAGATATTCTTGGTAGCAAAGCAGTCAGTTTACCAGACTCTGCCAATTGCCATATAGTTCCAGATAGCTTTCTCCATGGATCTGTCACTTCCCTGTTTCTCCATTCTAAAGGACCATGTGGGACCTTGACCCTGGCAAACAGAAGCACTCAGTCCAAATTACAACTCCCAAGATCCTCTAAAACAGATCTGAATATCCCTTCTCCTAAGTCTTACAATCCAGACTACTTTTTTCTTGGCCAGCTCTCCTAGCTACCGTACAAGTCCTGGCCTTCCTCATTCATCTCTCACCTCTAAATGTATGGGTTTTTGGCTGAGGTCTCAAACTTTAGATCTTTCAAAAATGAGCCATGAGTCACTGATTTAACTGAGATCTCAAAGATCCATTAAGCTACTACTTGTTTCTGAAAGGAGCTATGAATAAGCCACCCAAGAGACATGGAGACTTTGTAGTCTTTCAATGACTTTGAGGGAAAGTTATTTAACAAACTCACTCACAACTCATATTAATGAACGATAATTCTCTCTAATTAGATGATCATCTTGAGGCCCTACCCAACTCTATTCTTCCTCTACATCCTCCACAAGGTAATCCATCAAATATATGACTAAATCTACTACACTTCTTCCCTTGTCCTTTCTGTCTCCAAAATAAATCATTCCAACTCATTTAGCATTCATAAACTCAGTAATTTAATTTCTTAATCCCTTTTAAAGTTAACTGAATTCATTTCAGACTTAAGATCCACTCAGTTTTTACTTTTCTGGGAGACACTATAAAAGACTACTCTCTCTGAAGACATAGGGAGGATTCCAGACCAAACCATTACTGAGCCCTAATTTCCTACCTCTGACTACTGCTTCCTGCCTGGTACTCTGCCACAGGCCATTGGCATATCCACCATTCTTTGTTCCATTTACAGTGCACTGTGAAAATGCTTAATCTAATAAATTTAAAGAACCCTCTTGGAATGCTGATGATGCCCACAATTCCACATCCCATGGTCATCATTACCTGTATCTTTTATTGTCCACTGGCACAATGTCCATCGCTATGTAGTACTGCTGGTGTGGATCCAGGCCGGTGATTTTCACTCTCATGGCAGGAAACATTCTCCTTTTAAAGGGAAGAAGGCAGTAAGCTCAGTAATAAGAGATGGAGGAGTAGCAGAAGTAAAAGCTTGAAAAGTCTCTTCTTATTAGGAACTTAAGCACACCAGAGCCCAGTGTCCTCTAATCCTCAAAGTTGGCCAAATTTTTTTGTTTTTTATGTTGAAAATTATCACTGTAAAATATAAAAAAGACTTATATTGCTGAAATGAACCTCTTCTTAACTTAAATTGACCAATTTAATGATTCATACACTCATAAGGCTCATAGTATACCCTACCTTGGTCTATAAATGAATATACAGATGGTGTAATTCCCTTTTTAATAACAATAATTTCCCAGTATATATTAACTACATTATCAGTTAATCTTTAATGTGGTATATATGTGTGTGTAGATATGTGTGTGTATCCACACATACATTGCCAACTAGACTATAATATTTTTAAATATACCATTAAGTATAACATAACTTACAGTCTTCTTATTACCCACAGAGTGTCTTATTGTTGGTGATCATGAAATATTTTTAATGGAGTGAGTCAATTTGAAAATGATTACTCTAAAAATAATCTCTAAGAAGAGAAGAATAAAACGGAAGGTGCTATCTCTTCCCAAGCAAGGGGTCATCAAAGTTGGGTTTTTTTTTTTTTTTGAATGCATAAAAAATTTTCTGAGAGTTCTCAGGCTGTCAACATGTGTGTTAGAGGAAGAACCCTGCAGAATACAGAGAAAATAACAAATGAATTCTAGTGGCCTCTGGCAATACCTTGTTTCTACCACAATGGCTTATTAAACTTGCCAAAGCAAGCAAGGTCAGGATATCGCACTTTACAACTACTCTCATAATTAAAGAGAGGAGAGAGGGAACAGCCCAAAAGAGGTATTGAGTTTCAAGAAGTCTAGAGGAAAATTCAACCATTCTTCCGTAACCATCAGAAAGAAGAAAAACATCAAGCTCTTTTGTATGTCATTCATTTAGGGGCCAGACATAAAAAGTGCTTAGTTCAAAAATTTGGATTGGCCTGATTGTGCTCTTAGGGTACTTGTATACAAAATGCTGCATTAAGCTTAACCATCTGGGGCCAGTTAGTTGAGCTGAGCAGAGCACAGTGCTAATGAGGTCAAGGTCACAGGCTTGATCCACATATGGCTTAATTGGCTTTGCTCCATTTCACGGCCATAGACCATACCCTGACCTCAGACAGCCATCTTGCAAGTATGCACTGGTTGGTTACAAGTGGGGTTCTCTGTGCTAGTCATACACTTCACTACTCCTCCTGGAAAAGCAACTTAAAACTCTAATGTCTTCTGGCAGTATGTCAGTGACATCATAACCTTATTTGAGGGAAGGGACGGGGGGAGCATAGGTCTTTAATACTGCTGATGGCTAAGTCTTTAAAAATTCATAAAGAGTAATATATAACCATTATTCATTCCCACTTTAGTACTTTTCAGAAGCTCATATTGATATATTATTTTGGACTTTCTCCCCCTACTGCTGCAAGATTAATTATAAAGCCTTATGTTTTAGTTTTCCAAAATGAAATTTGGTGGTGGGCTACTCATAATGACTAAGTCTAACATTCAGTGTGGGTTAGGCACTTGGAGCCACTAATTCTTTCCAAGAACTTGGGAACGTTGGTCTATACATTAAGCACAGATTGTGTAATTCCCTTCTTAATAGCAATGATTTATGATTGTCATGTATATATAAATGGTTAGAGAGCATCTTACCAGGGATGGGGAGAAAGTCCTCTCACTTGCTACCTGAGATAAAGAAATGAGGTTCCTCTCAACCACCTACAAAGACTGTGTTTCACTGAGAGAGATGGATTTCTTTTCTTGATGACTTCAAGAAAAGGAGGTAGATGTTCTTAAATTAACTGTTTTGTTTGAAACACTTACTCTGTGACCTTTAGTGGAGAAGCTACCCGTCTCTTACCAGTACCCAAGTTCTAAAATGAATGAGTTGGGTGGCTTTGGATAAGTCATTTAACTCCATCACCTATAAAACAAGGGAATAGGACTAGATAATCCCTAAGGTCCCCTCTGCTTTAAAATTCCATGATTGTGTTTCAATTCTCTTCTTAAAGACTTAACCAAAAGTTGCCTTTTTTCTTTGTCAGTACTTTAACACAGTATACGAAGTGAAGTCATAACTCCAGAGAAAAACTAGTTTTTCATATTTCACAAAATGAGATGTATGTTTGGTTTTAACATTATGACTAAATTTAGGCCAGTTCTTTTGTCTTCTAAACCCATTAATCTCTTCAAGCACCTCTGTCCATGGTGCTGATTATAGGGATTATGTTGGTATATGCAAAGATTGAAGATTCTACAGACTGCAATAGTTCTGAATCAACACAGCTACAGTTTAGGGTGTGGGAACAGGTATATGGTAACTAAGATTTTCTGGAGAGGAAGGACAGGAAATCATGCATAACTAAGGTCCAAAGAAAATGGGAGTTCGAATGAAAACTGAAAAGGACTCTGCATAGGAAGGACAATGAAATTCAAAGAAAGAAATCTACTGGGAGAGTGGAGAGAGATGGAGGAAATTCACAGAAGAAAAATCCTTCTTTGTATGTTTCTGAGGTGATCCAGAATTATCTGAGCAGAGTCACATGTAGCAACAGCAACAGCTGTGGCAATCCAATACAGAAGCAATGAATATAGTTTCTAAACCTAAACAAAGGACTCCAATATGACTAAGAACAAACTGTATGACTGTGTTGGTGAATATCTAGATGTATTCACGTATAAAAGTAAATTTGTGAAGACAGAGATACGGAAAAGAAAATGCTACAGAAGAAATCATGAAATAAGGTCACAGGAGAATCATCAAGAAGGTGCTGAAATGAGCTGAATTTACCAAAGTGTAATTTACTGAGTGAGAAGCGTGATACCAGGAACAAGAGTTACTGGACTATACATACTGAATTGTACTAACGTGAATGACCAAAATGAAAATTGGAAAATCTTATAGAAAAAAAGAAATTGCAGTATTTCCCCTCTCACCAAACCAATCCCCTATCAAACACTAAAAAATAGAAATAAAAACTTTATCCTTGAATTTGTTGTTTTCTTCCAAGCTTTAACACCTCAAAATGTAGAACTGGAGTAGACTGAAGCCTAAGCAAATGAAAAAGTGACAATACTGAAAGCAACTCTTTCAGAGTTGCTCCTCCTAAGAAGCCTTTTAATGGTTTTATTCACTACTAAAAATTAGAGAAGGAAGAGGGTTCCAGAAGAGAAAGAACATGAACACTATTTCACATTCATTTTAACCTGTTGTTTTTCTGGTACTATATGTTTTGGGGAGGTTTTTCTATATGAATACAGGTAAACTGGACTCCATTAAAATTTTTGTTTTTTTACTTTAAATATCCATGTTCATGCAGATAGCTTACGAGCAATGAATCAGATCTTTCTGGGTCTCCATGAGACCACATAAATTGACTTTGAAAATATTAAGGTTGCATAATATTTTTGTTTAATTTCAATTAACTATTCCTACATACTCAAAAGCTTAGTCCAAATTTAGTTTGATCTAATCATTTTCATTTTTAGTCCAAGTGACACTGGCAACACACCTGCCATCTTGGATAGGCAAGGGGTTGTGCCCTCCATCTTAAGTGATATAGGAACTAACTCCCTGTCTTTAAGCTATCTCTTTATTAGATATGTCCCCTGTTTCTGGTTCAGTTGAGAAAAACAAGAGACTGGGGTTGAAGGACCAGCTAAAACTGGCAAGAACCAGATCTGGTCCATTTGGCATGTGCAGTACCAGCAATCGTGTCCTTTAGATGACCTACTGACATCAGAGGCTGAAAAACACACACCCCGTCTATGCCCCGGACCTGGGCAAAATGCCATCTTTGTGGCCCCCCTTACAGACTGAGCAGGCGCAGAAGACTGGACCACTGCAGGAATGTCTTTTCGGGCCAAGCCAATCAGCAAGCTGACTTCGCCTTAAGGCATTTCTGAAGACCCCAACCCTAACTTACTTTACCCATATAAACCCCCTGAGCCATTGCGCAGGGAGCCACCTTGACGACCCAAGTCCTGGTGTGCTCCTTTACTTAGCCAACTAAACAAAGCTTCTTCTTTCACTTTCAACAGCTTTGTGTCTTTGTAGCTGCACCAAGCAGACCTGGACCTGTCTGGTTACACAAGGCGCAAGAACTACAACCATTTCTTAGCGTAGAATTATAGTTAAGACTATTATTTTAGAGTCAGATATATTTGTCTAGAATTTTGGAGCTTTCCCCTTACTACCAATGTGGCCTTAGTCAAGTTAATTAACTTCTTTCAGCCTCTGCCCTCTCATCCATAAATGGGATGACAATATCCTACTTCATAAGATTGCTGTGAAGTTTAAATGAAGTGATTTATGTTGAGTGCCCAGCTCCAAACAGATACTTAACTATGGAAAATTAAAAGATACCGAAAAAAGAAGTAACCTAACTAAAAGTATTTATTTCTAGAGAAACTGTATTTTTTTTTCCAATTTTTTTTTTTTTATTGTACTTCAGGTGAAGACTTACAGAACAAATAGTTTCTCATGAAACAGTAGTACACATGTTCTTTTATGACATTGGTTAACCACCCCACAACATGTCAACCCTCTAACTTCTCAACCATTTTTTTGGTGAAAATACACATAGCCAAAGATACACTGTTTCAAAAATTTCTACATGCACAGTTCAGTGACATTGACAA